TAGGGAAAAAGGCACACAAGCTGTCTATGATTAAATGTCACCTTAGGAAACATTTAGGAAGAGCAGTCTTGGAGTGTTTTAATTTACTGCTTCTTGTAAACTTCATGAATTCACACTGTTCACATTCTCATCCGGATCTGGAATTTCAAGTTAATTATATTATACCTTTTCTTTTGATCTACTTCATAACTTCTGTCTTTAAAATGTTTTTACCGTTAATGTCCAAAAGTTAGTCTCAGGGTTCCTTGCTTCATCCCAGTTGCGCAGGCTGCGAATGCTGGTGCTGAGCTGTAGTTAGCCCATACAGGGTGGCTGAGCCCAGTAGGTGTGAGGGCACACAGACCGTGCAGCAGCCACACGATCTGGCTCTTGTTTCCATGTCCTGACCTTGATGAAGGTGCAAGGATTTTTGCAAGGGTTCAGTGCTAAAAAGTTGCAAACCAGGGGTATTTAGCATGGACGTAGGTAGTTTTTCAGCTCCGGGAACGGAGGAGGGTGAGAGAAATACACTGTGGTCAGCTGGAGTGAATCTGGCTGCAGGTAGTTCGCCTATGTTTGTTGGTTTTAGGGTTTTTTTCTATTTTTTTAAAGAGCTGCAGAAGTTAAGTCTTGTCAGTATTGTTTGTTTTTCCTACTCCTTTGTTTTGCATCCTTGTTCAGCTTTAGACATAAAAGCCTTGCACCTGTCTTTCCTGTCCAGGCTGTTGTTGCTTGCCAGCTTCTCTGTGAGCCTTGCAGAGGTGTTCCCTGGTGTCCCGGCAGTAGAAACACAGTAGCTCCCACCCGCAGATGCAGTTGATCAGCAGGAGAGGGGTTAATATCAGCGCCGCTGGACCCTTGCTTTAGCTCCTTTCTGAAATAGGCATGGCACAACTCTCTTCCAGGAGTAACAAACACTGCTGACTTCTCTGTGGTTTGCTCAGACCTAAGCTGGTAACAACATAATGTTAATAGCAAATGAAAGTAGTACTCTTAAAATGCATGGGATAATGCTCACAATGAGGATCAGTAGTAGCAGGACTGGGCTTTTCTTATCCAAGGGAAGAGTTTCAGTGATGTTTGTTTTTTCATGTAACTGCCTTATCCCTCATCTTCTCTTCACCTGTGATGTGGAGCAGATTCTTGCCTATATAAGTAAGATGATCATATTAAAGCCACTGCTTTTTTGGTATTTTGTGTAGAAATACTGCAGCACTGCTTTTCAATGTGACTGCAAAAAAATTCTCTAGTGCCCATGTGTTATATCTCTGTGTTGATGCCTTCTGGTTATACCTGTGCACTATGAAATGCTACCAGGGCTGTAGGATGGCATGATGCTATTCCAGTCTGCAGTAAAATACAATTAAAAAGTGGTTTTCCCCCAATATATTTAGTTATTTACTAATAAGTTCCTTTCACTTGCAGGTACTTCCCTATCAGGGTTGTCATATAATGCAGATGGTGTGCACTTTGACAGGGAAAAATAATGGTGCATATAAGGCAGGGGTCAGTTTGTGCTAAATGTCTTCCAGATGGCAGTGCATAATAAGAGATCATGTTGTCCCTCCATCTGTCCAGTCAAGAAACTGTATCTTTGTTTTGCTTCTTGAGGATGACTGTCTGCCTCTCTCCTCCCCTGCTGATTACATATTGATCAGGGACAACATGGTATCATCTGCTCAGTAAGTAGATTTTATTTACTGTATCTACAGAGGAGTGCCCTGAAAAGAACTAGGTAAAAAGTTCACTGGCTGTTCTGCCAAGCATTTTTGTTTAGCAACGAAACTGAAAGGCCAAGTTCACTCTGATTTGCCAGTACACATTGTACTGGGAGAAATTTTGGCTAGACACATCTTTCTCTTTATGCTGCAGGTGCAGAGCTCTGCAACAGGACTTCTGTTTTATATGAGCAATGTTTGGATTGGAAAGGCAGAGAAGGCAGATAAGTGCCCCGGCTGTACGAGACCACAGCTTAGCTGGGCTCCATGGTTAGAGGTGTTAAACATTTCTGAGCAGTTTCTATCTGTTCCCTGCAACTTGCTGCCTGTCTTGTGGGCAAAAAACCTGCAAGTGCCCAGGAAAAAATGGCAGCTTGGAAAGCACTTGCTGCATGAGTTGTCTTTAGGTCAGGCCATAAACGACAGGCAGGGCAACCCAATCTGGTCCCTTCCATAGGCTAAAGAAAGCTTCTGCTCATGCATTTAATCTCCAGCTGAGGTTGCAGAGCTGCAGCAAGGCATTTAGTCCAGACCAGACAGAGCTGTTGTAGTTCTGTCGTGAATACTGGGGAATGAAAGCTGTTCTAAACCTGAGTTGGCGTTGGAAAACGTTGTGTTCCCCTGCATCAGCCTCTCTCCCAGCTCCTGTTACTCAGAGGCCACATTAAGGGAATTTGTGATAGGTGATGTCAGATGCACTAAAAGCTGTGTTGCTTTATCTGCAGATGGACCTTTCCCGGTCGCATAGTTCACGGCCTGGGGAACTGTGATGCTCTCAGGGCATGCTCCTCAGTGTTAGCAGCACAAGCAGGCAGGAATACCCAGGGTTATCTGTATACGCAGACTGTCAGAAAGTGGCTTTTGAGAATTACTGAAACAGAGATGGAGCTTGAAAAATGTTTGTTTTCCAATCAGCTTGACTCTACAGGATAAAGACCAATGTATAGTTTATCGTGCACTGGGAAGACTTGGCCCTTTTGATAGTATCCTTGCTACAACCATGAGAATATTACTTGTTGGAAAATGTTTAATGCAAGTCTTGTTTTAGTAAGAGCTGTGAAGAAGCAGAGGTTTTAATGTAGCGACTTCATGTCTGAGCTGACTCAAGTACCATGGGTTGATACCGTGAGTTGATAACATGTACCTGAGTTGATGCAGACTTAGGCTGGAGAGTTTAGAGCGGACACAGAGCCTGCGTTTCGGACAGGGTTGCTGTGCTGTGCTACCCTGCCTCCGTTTGTGCAGTTGGTACTATTTCTGAGCTGCTCTGCTTCTGCCTTGTCCCTTGTGAGCTTATTATGCCACCAGTGGGCAGCACCCATCTGCAGGTAATGCCAATGTGATGATGGGCAATAACCAGTGGCACTACACTGCTGCAATTCTACCTGCAAACCACGCTGAACGGTGCCAAGATTATTATGTGGCAATACTAGCCCTGGACCTGGTGTGATTAGTCTTGCTACCTACTTTTCGTGGCCTTGCTGAACACTCCTTGATTCTGTGGACCCCTTGTCAGAGCGACAGCAGTGGGGAAAAGGGGTGGAGGCTGCCCGTGGTACCCTGTCCTACAGATCGCCTTCCCACGGCGTGCGGGTGGATACCTCCTGGTACTTGTGTAGGTGCAAGATGTCAGAGAAAATGCAAGCACCAGCTGCATTTCTGCCGTGTTCCTTTACAAGCTCACTTGCACAAGTAAGGCAACTGACGCTTGGCAGGCACGGTCTTTATGGGAACCCAGTATTTGACAGTTTAGATGAAGCTTGGAAAGATGAAAATAAATTATTTGTGGATTTTAACACATACAGATACTACAGCTCATAAAAGTAAGCCCTGTGCTTTGTGAAGGCCAGGGAGCAGAGCTCTTCTAAAAATGCCTGTATTTTGATAGCTAGTTTTGCTTTGCAGAGAGCATTAGAAATGATACTAGTCAAAGTATATGTCTGAAAATTCTTTCATTTTATGTGGAAAGACTTAAAGGGGGAAGCTGAAGGGCTGCAGATGGGCAGTGGGGCCTGTGTGAAGGGTGTGGGTGAGAGGGGAACAGGTGCTACTGTAAGCAATTAACTGG